GGAATTCGAGTTTCCCTGACAGGCTCTTATTTTGTGAGTTTTGCAATCATTGCATTTTACTCTGCGTGGGGGGTGCGAACCCTCTGGCGTCTTCCTTCCCCCTTTTCCTAGCGTCAGCCTTTTTCCTCCTGATCTCCAGGAGTTCTTTCCGCTCGGGAGGAGCCGGGCCTGTGCGGGATGAGGTGCGCAGCCCAGCCCGTCTTGCTCGAGTTACGGCAGCTTCCGCAGACGTTGTTTTACTTTTCTGCAGTCAAATTTATCAGCCGCTCAGAGCTTCTGGGTTCTGTGTCTCAGTTTTAAAAAACCCTTTTTCCCATTCTGAAGTTTTAAAGATCTCCCATTTTTAGAAAACGCATTTGAGATTTTATTTTTTTAACTGTTGCATATGGGAGCCCTTGGACGTCTTCCTGCGGAACGTGCGCTGGAGAAACTCAGCGTGGCGTCTGTCTCTGGGTGGCTCTCCTGGCTGCCGCCCGGCACCGCCCCTAAGCACCCAGTGTCCCTTGGACTGGCGTCTGCTCCCGGCCTTCCGCTACGCCCACCTGCTGTCCACACAGCAGGCACCACCATCCTGCTTAGCGCTGAGGCTTTGTGACAGGTTTTAAATACCCTTCTTTTAAAAAACTACCCAGAGGCCGGGCGCGGTGGCTCACGCCTGTAATCTTATTCTGGGGCGGAGGCGGGGAGATCAATCAAGGGTCCAGGAGTGGTTCTGAAACCAGCCTTAGCAAATCGAGTCCGTCTCTACTAAAAATAGAAATTAACCGGACAACTAAAAATATGTAGAGAAAAAATCAGCCGGGCATGGTGGCGCATGCCTGTAGTCCCAGCTACTCGGGGAGGTGAGGCAGGAGATCGCTTGAGCCCAGGAGTTTGAGGTTGCTGTGAGCTAGGCTGACGCCACGGCAATCTAGCCCAGGCAGCAGAGCGAGACTGTCTTAAAAAAATAAATTAAAAATTAAAACCTTCCAGGTGTTATGAAGAGTAAAAAAAAAAAAAAAAATTAAAAACTACCCCAGCCGGCTCAGCGTGTCCATTTCCCGTACGGCACCCTAGACGATGTCTCTCGCGCCTCCGCCTGCCTCTCGCTCCCAGGCCCCTCCCCGCGTCCCAGGCCTGGGTGACTCCTTGTCTCAGTTGGGATAATGGAGCCGGCCTGTTTGCTTCCCCGTTGCCCTCGGATCTTTCCAGGAGCAGCAGAGGGAAATGCTGAGTCCGCGAGCCCCGCCGGCCCCTACGGGACGAGGTCCCGGCCAGCCCTGGTCAGCCTCCTCCCTCCTCTCCGCCCGCTCCTCGCTCTGCGCTGTCAAGGTGGACGCTGTTCTGGTTCCCGCCGTGGTCCAGGAGCTTCCGACCCCTGTGTGCCCTGCGTGCACGCCGGTGTGAGCCGGCCGCACCTTCCCGGCCCCGAGCTGGCGCCGCGTCTGCAGCCGGGAGACGAAAAGCAGCCCCGATCCTCGCCCGGCCACTGCTGCCAGCCCCGGAGCCAGGGCCGGGCCACGGGCAGGGAGACCCACGGACTCCGGAGGGAGCCTGCCGCAGGGGTGGATTCTGGCGTGTGGGGACCAGGACCCCGACCCGGGAAAGCAAGGCGGCCCGCGATGTGGAGGCACGGCGCACGTCGTTCAGCTTTCTTGTTTTATGTGAAGAGGTCTCGCTCTGTCACCCAGGCTGCAGTGCAGTGGCGTCATCACAGTTCACTGCAGCCTCCAACTCCTGGGCTCAAGCGATCCTCCTGCCTCAGCCCCCCAAGCAGCTGGGACTGCAGGTGAGCACCCCCACACCTGGCTAATTTTTCTATTTTTTATAGAGACGGGAGTCTCACTATGTTGCCCAGGCTGGTCTTGAACTCCTGGCCTCAAGCCATCCTCCTGCCACGGCCTCCCAGAGTGCTGGGATCACAGGCTGAGCCACCTCACCCAGCCCGATCTCACTTGATGCCCTCACCTCACCTGGCCACCTCTCAGGGTGTCTCTGTCTGGCCTCCTGGCCCCAAAACGCTGTCTAACCTCCAGCTTCTGCGGCCAGCACGGAAACAGAACCACGGTGAAACAACGCATAAACAGCTGCCGTCGGGCCGGCGATTCCTGCCAACTTCTTCCTTCATTAAAGCTGTTGCCTCCGAGAGCAGCTTGTGTTTCTGGTTTCTCGTTTCCTCGGAGCGAGGGCTTGTTGTGTCCTTATTCCAAACCCACAGCCGTGAGAGGGACGCTTCCTTCCAGGCCGGGTTTGGCTTCGCCTCCTGGAAGACGGACCGAGGTCTCGTGCGCGGGCGTTGGCGTCCGGGCCCCGCGGACTCTCTGGTCCCGCACCTGGGCAGCGACCCGGCCCCTCCCCTGCAGCCCCTGCATGTTTGCATGGCGACTGACTCAGACAGTTTTGTTTATCTTGGAGCCTCAAACCGCATTTCTCTCCTCTTGATGACAGGATCGTGTGTCTTCACCCTTGCTCATCCTAGCTAGGTCCTAATTAGACTGCTGTTGAAAGCGCCCCACCTGCCACAGAGGACGGAGTCTGGGCGTCGCCTCACCTGGGCAGGCGCACCTGGCCGGGGTTACCGCCGGCAACCGGACCTCTCCTCCATCCTTCCTCAGATCCGAGACTCCCTCTTCCCTTCCAATCCCACCCGAAGTCTTCCGCCTTCCTTTTCCCCTTCTATGTTTGTATTTTTATTAAAAATTGGAATAAAGCCAATTTCATGTTTTATTTCTACTTCTCTAAATGTTCTATAATATGATTCCACCTTCTTTTTTCATCTATGTTTGGATTTTTATTAAAAATCCGAATAAAGGCAATTTCATTTTTTATTTCTGCTTCTCTAAATATTCTGTAATATGATTTTTAAAATATACAAAGGGTTCATTAGACCTACGAGGTAGAGATGAGGTTTGAAGGTAAAGTCCAGAGAAAGCAGACTTCAAGACAAAGATAAAGAAACACATCATAGAAATGCTAAGAAGATCAATGTACCAGAAAGACATAAAAAAAATCCAAGCTATCAATCCCGCTGTTGGCAAAGATTCAAAATGGAGCGAGATACAAATGAAACAGAGAAATAAACTCATAATTCAGATTGAAGTTTTTAAAAACTCCTCCCTCAATAATTGATAAAAATAGATGAAAATCAGCTCCCAATTTCTTAAAATATACAAACTATGTCTACTCGTTCAGTATGAAATAGACAATATGACTGCCCATGCATGTATTAAGAAATAAATCTGGGCGGGGCGCGGTGGCTCACGCCTGTAATCCTACCACTCTGGGAGGCTGAAGTGGGCAGATTGCTCGAGGTCAGGAGTTCAAAACCAGCCTGAGCAAGAGCGAGACCCCATCTCTACTATAAATAGAAATTAATTGGCCAACTAATATATATAGAAAAAATTAGCCGGGCATGGTGGTGCATGCCTGTAGTCCCAGCTACTCAAGAATCTGAGGCAGTAGTATCGCTTGGGCCCAAGAGTTGGAGGTTGCTGTGAGTGAGGCTGATGCCACGGCACTCACTCTAGCCTGGGCAACAAAGTGAGACTATCTCAAAAAAGAAAAAAAAGAAATACATCTGTAATTTTAAAACTCCAAAAAGAGAAATCTTCAGTGCCACATGAATTTTTGGGAAAATGTTGCCAAACATTTAAGAGGACTGGACACCAATTTTAAGCAACCAGATGCAGAACATAGAAGAGGGTCAAATACTTGCCAATTCATTTCATGGGGCCAATATTCCCTGATACTAAAGCAAGATACAGACAGTATAAGGAAGAAAGAAACATATAAATGCATCTCTCTCGAGAACATAGACACAAAAATCCTCAACAAAATATTAACAAATCAAATTAAGTAATGTGAAAAAAATTAATAGATCATAAGCATGGAGGGTTTATTCTTGGTACTCAGAAATTAATGTATTAGTAATCCATCAAATAGGCTAAGGGGCAAAATCGTATGACACCATCAATTAAACTAAATTATCTTTAAAAATCAACACTGTTAATAACAAAACTCAGAAACTAGGTATTAAAGGGAATTTCCTCAATCTCATAAATATTATCTACAAAAATTAAAACCCTACAGGTAGCCTCATACTTAATGGTGAAAGACTCAATTATTTCCCCCTAAATTCAGTAATAAGGTGAGAATGTTGCTCTCGAAATTCGTATGTAACATGGGACTGAAAATTCTAGCCAGTATATAATAAATAAAGGAATGTACACATATTGGAAAAGAAGAAAGAAAACTGTATGTATTTAAAGATTACATGATTGTCTACATAGACATCCCAAGTAACTTAAAAATAGAATCTCAGAACTAAATATAAATTCAGTTATGTTGTAGAATACAAGATCAACACACAAAAATCAATTGCCTGTCTATACATTAACAACTAACAAGTGGAAACAGAACCAAAAACCACAGCATCGTTTACAATTCATCTAAAGAAAATGAAATAACAAATAATAAAATAAAACAGTATCTTACGAAAACTACAAAAATCCGATGAAAGAAATCAAAGTCCTAAACAGAGAGACATCCTGTGTTCATAGTTTGGATCATAAGCACAGCAAGATTTTTATAAATATCAAAGTCCTTCTCTTTCATTTTTTTTTTTTAAATTTTATTTTCTGTCCAGGAAGAGAGAAAAGTCTTTCTCTTTCTTTCAAATTTTATTTCTAGTTAAATGAGAAATGCATGTTCTGCGTTCTTGCACGTCTAAACCTGTCCCAATGTCACTGTCGGTCTTGTTAGACTGTTGGGCTGGGTATAGAATTCTCAGTTGTAAATGACTGTTTCTCTGAAGCTTGAAGGTCCCTTCTGCAGACACCTAACATCAGCGACGCCAGGGAGACGTCCAATGCCAGTGCAATTCTCACGCCTCTGTACTAGCTTCCCCCTCCCAAATCCAGAGAGATGCCCCAGGCTCCAGTCTCTGCAGAGGTCCACCTCCCCTCCGACGACTCCTGATCACCCTCCTGCAGCCCAGACCCACCCTTGGGCTTCAGACTCACCTCCCCTCCTGGGGTGTTTCCACCTGGCGAACCCCTCACGGTCGACCTGATGGACATCGCCCGGCAGGTGCCCCAAGGACCGAAGCTTTGGTCCCTGCGATGGTCCTGGCGTGGCGGACACCCAGGCAGAGAAACCCGGCCCCAGGGATGAAGGAGCAGAGCTGCCCGGCAACCTGGAGTGTCACCCAGACCCCTATTGTCCCGGGGCCACCATGTCACAGTCGGGGCTGTCAGAGTGGCCTCCAGCGCTCTGGTCTTGGCCGAGGACACTCAACCCACTCTGCACCCCACAGCCTCACCTCACCCCAGCAGGTCCTCCCCTCTCTACCCTCCAAGTGCCCCCAGGATGCACGTCCCCCTCTTAGAGCCACCCTGGGCTGGCCGGCCACCCACCCGGACCCCTGTGGCCCCTGCATGACACCAACCACTCCTGCGGGCTGGGGGTTGAGACGGCGTCCCTGTGCTCAGCTGTGTACCGCACCCCCCCCCGTCGCCAGCTCTGCCCTGGCGCCCCCTGACCAGGGAGGGGGCCTCCCCTCCCGGGTCGCCCACACCCTGCCGTGAGCTGCGGGCACGGGGTCCCCCCAGGCCGCTCTCCTCCTTGCACTTGCCCCCAGAGGCCCACCTGGCACCTCCTGCCAGTCCCCAGCCCTGTGTGGCAGCCCTTAGAGGACTCGGGCTTCTCGTGTGTCCCTTCTGCCGCCACGGCTCCTGGCACCTAGAACATGGCCCTGTCCCCTGTCCCCTGTCCCCGAGGGGGCTCTGCCAGGTTTGACGAGTGGCCCAAACTGAATGAACAGTGTGGCCCTGGCTCCCGGGCGGTCCCCCTGGAGGACTGGTGGGTGTCACCGCCGGCAGCACTGGGGCGACAGGCCCCGTCCCTGGGGAGCAGTGAATGCACTCCAGATCCACAGTCTCCCCCAGGGGGCACGTGCGGGTTACGACGGGCACACAGCGAGGACAGTGGTGTGACGGGAGGGCCGGCTTCTGGGCAGAGACAAGCACCTGTGCCTCAGGCTGGGCCCCTCAGGCAGCCGCAGGCTCCACAGTGGCAAACCCTGGCTGTGCTCCGGCCAGAGCACCCCCCACTCCGGGGGCCGGGGGGCTGCAAGTGCCGGTCTGGGCTCCAGCCCCACACGGCCCCCTCCTGGCTGGAGGGAGAGGAACACGACCACCCGCTGCTGCCACAACCCAGCCGGACCCTGCCAGCCAAGGACACTCCCCCCCACACGCCTGACACTTGTCCCTCAAGCTCCAGGGCTGTCACCAGGGTGGGCGTGCAGGGAGGGCCCCCAGCCGGGACCCGGCGGGCACAGGCCCTGAGACCCGCTTTCTGTCAGCCTCTGGAGGTCGGCGTCCGACTCGTCCTGGCTGGTGGCGTGGGCGCCTCGGGCAGCAGCCTCCCCCCCTGCGGGACGGAGCAGGGCGGCTGTTTGCAGCGCGGAGCTGCCACCTCGCCTTTGGGCGAGAGTGTTCGGGAACTGGCGTGGGGTCAAGGGACATAGTTCTGGTCTTAAGTCGGCCCCTCTCTGAAAGCCCAGAGACCGTCAGTGCATTCCTGAAGCTAAAAATAAATGTGCAACCGACATTTCCTGAGACGGGAGCGTCTTAGCCAAGAACACTGGTGGCTGCAGCTCCCACCGCGAAACACAGCTCCCCACACGGGGAGCGGATCGCACTGCCAAGCCGGCTCTGGGCGGCCACGGCCTCCCGAAAACTCGGCCTCTTCCCCACCAAGCCAGACACACACAGGGCCCGAGAGTCCTCTGGGACCCTCGGTGTGAGCAGAACCTCTGGGGCATGGGCGTCCGGCGGGCCCGGGCTTGACCCTGAGTCCCCGCGTCTCTGCCAGGCCCTCCCTGGGGGCCACAGGGCTGCCCCCCCACCCTGGGGACAGGGACGTTGCCACCGCCGGCCACAGGGCCGGAGCCTGCCGACCTCGCAGGGGCAGCCTGAAAACGCCATGGGGACTGTGGCTCCCGGTGCCAACCCAGGAATTTGAGAAGTTGAGGAATCTTCCCAGGACTCAAATGGGAAAATGCCCAGAGCTGAGCGGAGAGAGCTGGAGGGCGCAGCGGCCGGGCAGGGCTGACACTGGCGTCGTGGGGAGGGGAGTAGACGAGGGACAGGCAGAGGGACAGGGAGCCCCTCACGTCAGGGCGGGTCTCAGGCCTTCAGTTCAGGAAGCTCTCGAGGGCAAAGACATTGACTGTTGAATATGAGAGGCCGGGAGAGGCTCACCCCTGTGGTCCCCGCACCCTGGGAGGCCGAGGCAGGAGGATGCATGGAGCCCAGGAGGTGGAGGCTGCAGTGAGCTGTGATGACGCCCCTGCACTCCAGCCAGGGTGACAGCGAGACCCTGACTCAAAAGAAAACAAAACACAGAGGCAGAGACTGGATTTTATTCTAAATGATTTTAAATAAAGGACAACCCGAGAGATCACGGAGGGAGGATGATGGGAGATTTATCTGGCTGGAACAAACCAGCTCTGCCCGGACTCCCATCAGTGAGCGTGGGGAGAGCCCTGCAGAGGGCTGAGGGCGGGATGGGACTTGGGGACTTTCTGCCCCTCGCCGTGCCCGACGCAGTAAGTCCGCAAAGACAAACTCCTGTGGGAGACTGGAGGGCGGGGCGGGCAGGCCAGGACCCCCCCAGCAAGACCCAGTGTCCAGGGGCAGGAGATGCCCCCTGTCACCAGCAGCTCTGGGGACAGAGGGACCCGCTGTCTAATCTGTCACCGGCACGCCCCAGCCTGCCTGCCGGCCTTGGTGTCTTCACCACAGCACCATCATCAAACCGGGACCCCAGTCTCCGTTCTAACACTTTAGGAGATTCAGCTTCACATATAAATATTTAAATATAAAAAGCACGCGGGATTTCGCATGCATTTCGTACATGCGTTCATTCTGACTTTCCAGAACTATTTTCTGCAGGTTGCAGGACCCAGGCGAGGGGTGTTGTCTGTTTCTGGGGGTCCATCCCTGCTGACCCGGGCGTGGGAGGAGGGACCCCGGGAGGCGGGGTCGCGGCCAGAGCAAACCCCGCCTGGAGGGGCACAGCTGGTCCCCAGCAGGGCCCACGCCCGGCACACTCAGGGCCACCTGGGTGCAGAGAGGGTGTCACCCTGGGTGACAAAGTCACCCCAAACTCAGCCCGGAGACCAGGTGCTGAAGGCACGAGGGGGACACGTCCCGAGAGGGATCGGGCGCTGGGAGGGTCTCCTGCAGACACAGGCGGCGCCCGGAGCCTCGCCCGCCCGGGTGGGGCCGCCTGGTGGGGCTGCCCGGTGGGGCCTGGGCTGGGACGTGGCGGGGGGCAGACTGCCGGGCCCCCTGCCCAGGCCCCAGAGTCCCCCCGCCCTGTCCCTCTCGTTCCCCTCGAGCACCTGCCGGGCCCCACACCCAAGTTCAGGGTCCTGCGGCCGGGTGGTCCTGCCAGGAGGTCCTGCCGGGCGCTCGGGCGTAGCTGAGGCAGGACCTGGACCTGTCCCTAAGAACTAGGCACTTTGAGACTCTGTTTCCCCTTGGGGACCAGTGGGGAGGTTCGTGGACTTGTGAGTGTCATTGTCACTGGACACAGGATGGGTGGGGCACGGTGGGCCATTGGGGTGGGTGCTATAGGGAGGTGGGCACTGGGTTGGGGGCAATGGGGGTCTCAGGGAGTGGGGAGCCGTGGGGATGGGGAGCGCAAGAGTTGGGGGACTGGGGGTGGGCATGGGGGTGGGACTGTGGGGGTTGGGTGCTGGGTGGGTGCGTGGGGTGGGTGCTGTGGGGGTTGGGGCCGTGGGAGGGGTGCATGGTGGGGGTGGGGCAGTGGGGGTGGGTGCTGTGGGGGTTGGGGCTGTGGGAGTGGGGGACTGGGGTGGGGCGTGGGGCTGGGGCAGTGGGGTGTGTGTGGTGGCGTGGAGTGGACTGGGCGTGGGGTGGATGGGGTGATGGCTTGTGGTTTTTTTTGGGGCTGTGGGAGTGGGGGACTGGGGGTGGGGCGTGGGGGTGGGGGCCGTGGGTGTCCAGGAACTTCTGCCCCACGGGCACTCCTCCCAGCGGGATGGTGACAGGGACCTTCCGCCCTTGCCGGGCGCCTCCAGGGCTGGGCCTGGCACAGCCTCTGCTCTCCGCTCAGCTGGCTCAGAACCGGGCTGGGAGGGGCAGAGGCCCTGCCTGCACGCGTGCACCTTCCCCCACTGCCCCACGCTGTGACCCCCAGTGCGTGTGCACCTTTGCCCACCGGCCCGCGCCGCCCGCTCGCCCGGTTCCTGAGGCTGCGCTTCCGCTGGGCTGGGGTCCTCCCTCCGTGACGAGGCGGCGCCAGTCAGGCTGCACGGGCAGCTCCTGGGCGGCGGGCGTTTGGGGCGGGCTGCCGTGGCTGAGCCACGGGCTGTGGTTTTCCGGAGCCTTCCGTGAACGTCCTTGTCACCAGGCATCCGTGCCTGAGAGCCCCTGCCGCCCCACCCGCCCGCCAGGGCGTCTCCCGGGGCCTGACGACGTCCACCCGACCACTGGGAAGAGCCGTCCCGCCCGCCCGGGCTGGGCACAGACAGCGCCGTGCGTGCCGAGGCCAGATCAGTCCCGACTCCGGCGAGGAGAGAGCGTGTCCTTGGAGCGTGTCTCTTCTGCTATAAATATACACTTGAGTCAGAAAATAACACGTTTCCCGCAGGCGGCCGGCCCTTCCCGCGGCGGCTCCGGCCGCGTGGGGGTCCAGCCCCAGCCCCCCGCAGCCGCCGTGGCCTACTTTCCCGGCCAGGGCGCAGTTCAGGCGGAAAATGATTAACAAGGGCCGCATCTCTGCCGCCCTGCTCCCGCGCCTGCGGGAGGGGAGGGTAACGCCGCCCCCTGCGCTTGGGGAGGGTCTGGGGGCCCCCATTCCAGCCAGAGCCCTGCCCTGCCCCCGCCTGTCCCAGGGACCCGCTCACCCGGCTGCTGCAGGAACTGCCCAGGCCTCCCTCCCTCCACCCCTTCAGGCTCCACAGAGGCCCTGACCTCTGGCCTCTGACCCCGACCTCCCAGGCAGGGATGCAGTGGGAGGTGGGAGAAACCTGTTGTCAGACCCCACAGGGTCTCTGGCGGGGGAACCCTGGATTTCCCGGGCTTTTGCTCCTGCTGCTCAAATGAGCAGCCTGTCCAGGGGGGCGGGGGGAGCCCCTGCC